ATCAACCTATTGAACTGTTTGGTTAATGAAGCACAAAAAAAAAAAAAGCAAAAAAAAAAAAAAAAAAGACCAACGGGCAGTGGTACCCAGGATAAATTACAAACACAGAACAGAAAACAAAGAGGCATGTCAACAAAGATAAATAATCTTAACAGCTAATAAATCATCACCTCATCCTGGATTAAAAAATATTGGAGTAAATGTGTTTTAAAATGAATGCAAAGTGAGAAAATAATTCCAAATAACAGACAAAATGCTAAGCTTTTCATTAATTAAAAGAAACAAAATAAAAATAAAAAGTTTTATCACTGTTAATCTTAAATTATGGGCGTGGAACCACTATAATAATCAGGAAGCAGCAGAGGTTCCTGCTGCCCTTCAGAGTTAGAGTCAAAGGGTTCTGCTGAATTGGGCTCTGCATTAAGGCCAAACAACTCTTCATTTCAGATGATGTTGTTACAAAACTCTGGTGGTTTATTAAATACATCTTTCATTGCTATGGGCTTTTCTATTCCAACTCTTAGAAACAACCAGAAATAATTCTTTCATCTTGGTTGACTTAATAAATGAACAAAAGCAAAAACTAATGCTCACTTATCCCTGATCCGAGTCTAAGATGGAACTTTTTGCTCTCGGGTTTTTCTTTAGTCATTGCACCACCTCTCCTGAATTTTCTGTGATGAATGGAGCCATCTTGAATGTTTCTACCCTTGGCTTTTCAACACAATAGTGAACCCCAAATAATTGTGAAATGAGTTCACCTTATTTCCCACATTAAACAAACTTGCCTTTCTAATGATTTCTGATTAATTTCTACCCTTACATTTTGCAGCCAAACCCCTGTGTGCCCCAATTTAACAAATTAACCAAACTCTTGATTTTATAGTGTCGCTCACACCGATGATGACCAATTAGTAAGTGTCCATTAATTGATGTCTGCTTATTTGCCTCCTAATTGAAAGGAACACTATTAAGTTTTTCTTAAAATGGTGGCGATCCTTGGTAAAACTCTGGCTTGTATGAGATTCTGTAGAGTTATTGTCTAAATGACAATGTGATGTCTTCACATAGGATTACTGTAAAGGTAGATAAATAAAAAAGGAATAGTACCTGAAAATAGTAAGGCATCATTAGATGCATATATTTCTAAAAATACAAGAATACTTTTTGTGAGCGTTGGTAGATTTGTTCTCCTGTTCTTTAGTAAACATTCAGCATTGCTGACCTGCTTTAATATAATCATAGTTCAGGCCAGAACCTTTAGCTATCACACATTTTGTTTTGTGGGCTAAATCAGGTTATTGTCCAACAGAATGTCAAACATGAAGTAATTGGACCCTTGGTGCCATGACGCCTGGTCTCTCCGAAAGATTTGGTGCTTATCAGTGCCTGCTTTGAGACGAGTTTGTTTTGTTAGTTAGTTTAGAACAGGGCAGACAGAGTGATCCCTGTTTGTTTTCAATCTTAGGAAAACTTTTCAATTTTTATTTTTCATTTTTTTGGGGGTGGGGGCAGGAATCCCATCCATCATTGAATTCATTTTAGATTAATGTGGACACTTAATTTCTGAGAAAAGTGCCTCCATGACTGTTTTCACTAATCTCCTTTTTTAAGTGAATTCAATCAGGGGCGATAATTTATTTTCCATTTCACATGAGAAAAACAAGAAAGTCTTAATTATGAGTTTTAAATATAAAACAAAACAGTTATAAGGCATTTGCATTTGTTTGCTTCTTTACTCAACTAATTATCGGGAATTCCTTTTAACTAAGAACTGATTTAGTTTTTTTCTTTTGTTGTTTTATTTTCAACTTTTTCTACGTTGAACTCTCACATTAATCTGGTTACTTTCATATTGGATGCTGGTTCTTCATGTACTTATGTATGTCAGTGTGTTCACCCAGTTCTGCCAATGAACGTGACAGTTTGTCAAATGCAATTTATTCCCAGCTCCAGGCTACAAAACACTTCATCAGGAAGGACACAGATATATACCGGTACAATCAATATTGTTTCAATGTCATTCCCATTCAGTTCAGCAACATTCTACATGAAACCGGTGAAAGGAGGAGCAGTATTTGGCTCATTTCTGCTTGTGTTTTTTACGGTTTAAAGTGTGTCTGGGTTCATATAGCTGCCTTCATTGATCAAAACCCTTTAATCCTCTTTTTTCATCATCTGGGTTCGTGGGTGTCTCACAAGTTTAATGTTAAAATACTTGACTGAACCAGATTTAATCTTAGTCCTTTTTTGTTGATTTAAAAGTATCATGATATTAAAGGATTGTGTATTTTTGACAGATACTCCAAAGTCGGAAGCCTGGCAAAACCGAATCTGAAAGGAAGGAAGGACATAAGGTAGAAAGTGAGGTTGCATTTTAAGAAGAAAAGACTAAATGAAAAGAAGAACACAAGCAAGAATACAAGGAAAAACTGACGGATTCAGGTCATAATTTCATTACTAAAGGAAAAAATCTGTTGGTGGACTAGCAAGGCTTTCACCAACAATTTCCAGGCTGACTCCCCTCTATAAATTGTATTTACATGCTGTTGCCACTGGAGAGCAGTCTGACTGTATCTTGCAGACAGGGCCAATAAGGCAGACAACTATTTAACCCTTGCCTGGCCCGTTTAACTGCTTGACAGTTAATGTAATTTTCTAAAATGTTTAGTTTTCGGATCTTTTTAAACCACAATTGTATTAAAAGTTAAATAACATATTTAATCTTTATTGGAGTATACCTTTTCAGCCTGGGAGCTTGAGGGTTCTGTGCAGTATCTTTGCTGTCCCTAGAACTGCACTCTTCTGGACTGGTTTGATGTATTTCTAGGGATCTGCTGTAACCACTCCTGCAGTTTGGTGGTCACTGCCCCGAGGGCCCAAATGACCTCGGGTACCACTGATGCCTTGACCTTCCAGGTTTTCTCCAGCTCTTCTCTGAGCCCTCTGAGCCCCTGGTTTCTCTAGTTTTTCATGTTCTTTTTTCCTGATGTTGCAGTCACTTGGTATTCCTATGTCAACCACAACAGCTTCCCTCTGCTTTTTGTCTGTCACCACAATGTCTGGTTAGTTTTCCATTACCATTCAGTCCCTCTGTATCTGGAAGTCCCACAGGATCTTGGCTCTGTTGTTCTCTACCACCTTTGGAGGTGTTTCCCACTTTGACCTTGGGGTTTGTAGCCCATGATCTGCACAGATGTTCCTCTACAATATTCCAGCCACTTGGTTATGGCACTCCATGTAAGCTTTCCCTGCCAGCAGCTTACACAGTTATGTGCTGGATTGTCTCAGGGGCCTCTTTGCACAGTCTGCACCTGGGGTCTTGTCTGGTTTGGTAGATCTGGGCATCTATTGCTCTGGTGCTCAAAGCCTGCTCCTGTGCAGCCATGATTAGTGCCTCTGTGCTGTCCTTCAGTCAGCACAGAGGCAGCTAAACATCCTAGCCTTATGTGAAAAAGTAAAACCCATTGCTGATATTAAATCAACTGGGATTAGCTACATTTTTGGGAGTGTTGTGATCACTTTTGATCACTATCCCTAAACTCAATAACTGAAAGACCTTCAGAATCAGAAGTTACATTAACTGCACCTGTTAAAG